TACATATACATATATATCTCGTTAACAAAGTCGAACGGAAACAGAACCTGCTAGATATGGATAGCAAAGTATCTGTATCAAAAGATTTATCAGCGTGGTTATCCATGCTAATTACTTTGTAACCATTTTTCTATTTTTCTCTCTCTCTCTCTCTCCCTCTCTCTCTCTCCCTCTCCCTCTCTCTCTCTCTCTCTCTCTCTCTCTCTCTCTCTCTTTCTCTTTCTCTCTTTCTCTCTATTACATTTTTTTTTTCGAACTAGTCCCAGGAACAAAACGATAAGAACAATTAACCAGCCACGTTGACAAATATCTTGTTTTCTTTTTCAGAGCACGTATTACTCGTTTGACTTGATCAGTTCAAACACATAAATATATACGGGAATGTCGAAAGTACGTATGATATTATACATAATATCTAAATAGTTACGAAACAAGTGAAACAAAGTTAACCATTATTGTGGTAATGTAGCGAATAATAGACAACGAGAACAAAGTACGCATCTAACTCGAACTATTCGCAAAACTATGCAATCACTAGGAGTACGTAAAAGTAAAGGGTTTCTCGTCCAACACATTCACGACAATAGCTACTTACAAATATATCGCTGATATTACATGTAGGTATTTGGCCATTTACAATGATCATTACGAAAAATGTCTTTAAAGTTGCAACCGTAATACATATATATATAATATATATATATATATATATATATATATATATATATATATATATATATATACATATATATATACAAGTATACTTATATATATACTTGTATATGTTATATATATACTTATATATATACAAGTATACTTATATATATACTTGTATATGTTATATATATACTTATATATATATTATATATTATATATAACACAGTATCGTATCTTTGGCAGAATCAATAATGCGGTAACTTTACAAGTTCTTCTATCCACTTTACGTCGACGAACTATTTTCGCTACGTTCGCGGTAACGATAGAAAGCATCCTCCCACGTCTGTTCTTTTAAAAAGATCGATATCGCCGTCTGTCCATGTCGCCTTCATCCCGTTCCCTTCTCCTCCTCCTCCTTCATCTCCTTCTCGTCCTTTTCTTCGTACATACATAAATATATTATCTCACAACGTGATTATTAATACATTGCTGACTTTATAAAAAATAACTATGACACAGCTACTATGTAACTAATAGTACGATTATAAGATGTTATGTAAATTACTTAAAATAAATGTAAAAAAAAATAATAAAGAAAAGGAAATAAATTTTTTACTCGAAGGAGTTATAAAAAAGGATAAGTAAATTCTTTGAGTTAAGTGTAAGTTAGAAAAATATTGTTTTTTGTTTTTCTTTTCTTTTATCATTAGACTCGTTCATTCGATAATAACGAAAAACAAATGATAGATTCAATTATAAGAAGTTTAGTATAGTATTAGTAATACATAAACATTGAAATGTTCAGAAGAACAAAAGTATGGCAACGCATATATAATCAAAATATTTGTAATATATAGTGTAAAAACACGTAGACTGAATCCTGTCTATTTTTTAAAGAGATTTCATCAAAAAGATCGCATAATTTTGCCGTCACCTTGCCCTTCTATCACGAATATATGAAACACAAAGCGAAGATACGAAGAGTATAGAAAGAAGAGGAGAATACTATGGTACTCGAGTACCCAGCTTCCATCGTCATCGACATCGTCGTATTCGTCATCGCGTAGAAGAGAATCAACGAGTCGTATCGCCTTTCAACAATCAAGCCTGTCGTTCATTTACGAACACGGAAAGAGGCCGCCGTCCTGCTTTTCTCGCACGATAATCTCGTGTTCTTCTCATTCACACACACACACATTCTCTCTCTCTCTCTCTCTCTTTTTTTTCTACATACCTGTCGTCACTTTCCACCACATCAAAGAAAAGGAATCGTCGATGCGAGCTAATTTCGCCTGCATCCCTCTTCTTCTCTTTACATGTCCCTTTTCATATGTATAAGTGTACGTTTGTATACGTGTGTATCTATGAGTGTGTGTGTTTCTCCGTCACTGACTAAAAGGGACCAAGTCTCGAGTCCAGCCGTGAAGTTGGTCAAAAACGTTGCCCCTTTAAACGTTCATCGCATAATACACGGAGTTTTGAGAGTCGGTAGGCGGGTTTAGGGTATTGGCACGATGCCCGCCGTAAGAGTTTGACACGAGGAGTAAGTGGGACATCGAGGTGGTCGTCGATTGAGAGAGAGCCGGAGTTGGAGAAGTGAGTTGATGATGGTGAGACTGTTGTGGTGGCTGAGAAAAATCGTGAGAGGGTGCACTAGCTGCACCTTCCGGTACACCGCGTTCCGCGACGCTACACGAGTTATTCACTAATTGTTGTTGTTGTTGTTGTTGTTGTTGTTGTTGTTGTTGTTGTTGTTGTTGTTGTTGCTGCTGTTGCTGCTGCTGCTGCTGCTGCTGCTGCTGTTGTTGTTGTTGTTGTTGTTGTTGTTGTTGTTGTTGTTGTTGTTGTTGTTGTTGTTGTTGTTGTTGTTGTTGTTGTTGTTGTTGTTGTTTCGTAGGTGAAGATAATGCCGAGGAAGAAGACGAGGAAGATGCCGAAAGAGGACCACCGATATTAACGTTTCCTTGTTGATCATTAACAGAAAAACCCGCAGAGAGACGTACATCGCAGATGGGTTTAAAGGAAGTAACAGGTACGGACAAAGGAGTTGAGGAGGACGCCGAGACGGTTTGAGTTTGTACGTCCGTGGCATTCACAGCTGCTGCCGCTGCGGCTGCTGCAGCAGCTGCTGCAGCGGCCGTAGCAACAGTAGCGGATGTTCGACCAAGTGGTATTTGATAGAGATGATAGGCTGGGTTGGTCGAATGGGCGGCTGTAGCCGTGGAGGAGCATCTAGGTGGTGCAATCACCGTGTAAGATGATGGAGGTGGTGGTGGTGGTGGTAATACCGATTGTAGGTGATATGATGCGATTTGATGATGATGTTGTCGATGTTGAAATTGGATAGGATGAACAGCGGCGTGAGGAACGGATGATAGTTGATGTAGGTGCAACTGGAGTGTCTGCTGAGGTGCTTGGGAAGGAAGACAATTGGGTGGAGCGGAATCAGGAAATGGTTGAGATGCTAAATAGGTATTTGGCGCCAAGGGACGTGGGTAGTACCTCTGCTGATGTTGCTGTGGCTGCTGCTGCTGTTGTGGTTGCTGTTGCTGCTGTTGCGGTTGTTGCTGCGGGCTATCAATCTTTGTCTGCCGAGGATAAGGATAACGCTCGATGTGGGTCGCGTAATTAGGCGATGAATGGGGTGGTAAGATCCGTTGAATGTTCTGATATGTCGGATCCGAGAGACCGTTGTATGGCACGAAATACATCGTGCGATAGCACTTAGTACCACCGCTGCTGGATGCCGCAGTTGGTGAAACTACATTGCAATGATAATTGGGGATCGTCGTTGATGGATACCGACGAATTTTAGCCGGTAGAGTCGATGCATAATTCGTAGCTGGTGCTGTTTCATCGCCGCCACCCGCGATACGCAACATACGAACGTTCGTCGGCTGATGCTTCTCCGCGAAATAATTCTGACCGTTTTTCTGTTCGGGATACTGATGTGAGATACCATCGGTCGGCGGTATTCTAACCAATGGACGTGGCAATGTATTTTCTAAGTAAGTTACACGATCGAGATTGCCTTGAGTCACCGCGGTCTCCACAATGGTCTGATAAATGTCGTCGATTTGTTTTTGCATACTGTTTATTCGATCGATCGTGTTTGTATCTTCTTTCGGCATCATATCGTACACGTTCGCCGGATTTTTACCATCGATTCTGTCGCCATTCTTATCGTAGTGCAACGGCCATGCCGTGGCAAATGTCTCTCTCACATCATTAAAGTCATTTGTGACTACGTTTCGAGAACGAAGTTGATGAACGATCTCATTAGTAGTACCAAACAGAGGTTTGATACCTCGAACAGGCGGACGTCTGTTGAAACCGTAGTCGTTGAGTTCGTCATCCTGGTCATCTTCTTCACCATGGTCTTCCTCATGAATCTGTTCGTTGTTACTGGTCATACTACTCATCATCTTTTCATCTCCTAAAACACCATTAACGAGACTATGACGTTCCTCATTCTCGCTATAACGTCGCTTTATTCGTTCCATCCTGGATTTATCTTGTTCCACGAAAGCAAGCAACTCGTCGGCTGAGTTCTCACCTATATCTGGCCTATTACCGACCGGTGTACCTCTCGTAACATCAGGTGCACTAGCACGATTTTTGTTCAGTGCCGTCTCGATATCCTCCAAGCTGTAAGCTGAATCGGACAGGTGATTTATCGAGTTGCTATTTACATTTGTCGCAATTCTTGGCTCAATTCTGTAATAATCCTCACGAGTGTCCGCGTTATTCATGGTGACGCAAGAGAGTGGAGCGAGACTAGCTAAAAACTGTCTTCTCACCTCGGAATTCATTTTCGTTAAAGAATTTTTTGATTGACATTCTTTAACCAAAGTACCTCTACCGTTATTACCAATACCAAGATCCGGTAAATTTGGTTCGGTATTTTTCTTGTACGCGAAAAGATCGGTAATCTTCCTGTAAGTCGATTGATTTGGCGTAGTATCCATCAATGGGGTATTCTTCGAATTATGAACATTTGCCATTGTCGCCGGCAACGTCGTTGGTGTTGATATGGTCGCTATGTTCGTCACCATCGGCACCATCGTCGTCGTGGTCGTTGTCATCGGTAACGTTGTCATTGTAGTCAATGTAGCAACCTTTTGAGAAAATCGTTCGATTGGTGGTTGTTCCTCGCCAGATGGTGAAGTTCGCATGGAGAATTCCAACCTCTCATTATCCTGATCTAAAACAAGTTCTGTACTCTTTGAAGACTCTTCGGTAACATCCTCGTCCTGATCAACACAAGTCAGTTGTCTGATTCGTTCCTCTAAAGACAAATCCTTCGATCTGAGATTCTTTTTTCTCGTAGTTGCATTGCACTTGCCAATCAAACTTCTTCTTAACGTGTTTCTCTCTATTGTCCTCTTTATCATACTTGGTTCGCTTTCACAAGACTCGCTACGCGTAGTCGTTTTCGCTGATCTCTTCGTTGTATCGAACAGCCGTAAATTCTCTGCGGTGATGAGAAACTTTTGAGCTTCGGAATAGGTACTTTCAGAATCGGCTAATGAGACGGATTTGTTCAGAGGTGCCGGTGGTGGTGAGATGAATCTCGGATTGGGAAAGAGTTGTCTCACAGCTGAATTTGGTTTCAAACTATTAGTCGCCAAGTTACCAAGTTTAAATGTTAGTGATAGCTCCGTAACATCTTGAAGAGTTTCCTTTGATTCGCTATTGTCATCCTCATCTATCGTTTGTTCCTCGTTTTCATTTTTGTTATTACTTCCAACGATACTCTCCGTTCTCTCATTGTCCTCGACTGTTTCCGCGTTCGTTTCCGCATTGCCACATTCACGGCAAACATTCGACGAAATATTTTCAACTTTATTCGTCGTAATAGTCGAAGAGTCCGTTGAAACTCCATCCAGTTTTGGAATTTCGCTTGATGGTCTTTCTTGTTCCAGATCAAGTTCATCGAGACAAAGTTTCCTCTCGTTCTCACTGATCTCTCGGATTATTCGTCGTTCCGTAACCGTCGTCATCGTTATCGTCTCGACGAGATACCGATGATGCAAATCTAGGAAAAGAACGTATCGAATTCGTAAAAAAATAGTAAACGACGTGTAAAACTTCGTCGTCTAATAGGATATAATAAAAAGACAAAAGGGCCTACCATTAGGCGTAGAGGATCGAACTTGATTGTTTGCTTCTTTAAAATTCTCAACGATAGCGTCCTCGCGTTCGGCATCGGTCCCATTGACCTTAATTTGCTCTTGGGCACCTGTAACGTCAAACAGAGTACTCAATATCTCGAGTTTCTACTCTCATTGCCGTCTGCCTAAGTATCTTGACAAAAAGAGTTAGGCATCTTTTTGTGAATCACCATTTTCACGGACGTTCGTTGGAAAGAAGAATAGCTAACAGGTAATATAGCTATATATTCAATGCACACGCGACCGAAAATTGCATGGAAACCGCGTGGGATCCATATATTTTTCGATTTATATCGACTCTCTTAGTGCTAAATGAAAAAGGGAAAGAGAGAAAGAGAGAAAAAAACTGTTTCAACGAAGTCGCCCTGGTAAGCCTGACCGCTCTTACCAAGACTACTCGACTAAGTACCGGAATCACGCTACGCTGTACATCCGGTGAACGTTGATGCTCGTATACATAACGTTCGTCGGCACGCATTTCTTTCGACCACACGCCCGCCCTTACGCTTATTGCTTTTATGATAACAGAAAAAAAGGGCCACTTCCACGGGAAGATCGCGAGAAAGGAAGTTAAACTTCCACGGGAATGAGGGACAGAGAGAATGAAATTATTTTATTTCCCAACATGTTAAATCCCCATTACGAATTCCTTTCCAGAATTCTGATTTAATAAGATGTATTTACAAAGGTGAGATCGTAAGTGAAAATACTTTATCGACATACCACTTGTATCAAGATATAAAAGGAGTTATTATTAGTCATTAATCATTTAATCCATAGATCTTTATAGTTTTTAAAGAAAAAGCAGTTCAAATATCATATATCGTATATGTATGATCAGAGGAAACTAAAATTAATCTATTCTTTTTTACAGATTTTGTAAAAGCATTTAAAAAGAACAAAGATATATATCTACACTTTAGATTCTTAACCGTTTAAGTCCCAAGCAGCGCGATCGTGCTGTTCAGATTTTATGTCGAGAAAATCCAGCATATTTCGTGCATTATGGACAACTGACGGTGCGAATTGTCAAATTTTTCAAAGCAATGAAAAAAATACGAGAATCACGTTACTTACCTCAAACAAGAAGCGCTATCGCGCTGCTTGGTATTTCTCAACATAAAATTAAACAAGCGCTATCGCGCTGCTTGAGTATTTTCAAACATATATAGGGAAAGCGCAATTGTGCTGTTTGGGATTCTTCAAAAGTGTTTTTTCAATACCGTCTGGGACTCAAACGGTTAAAAGGATTACTTAAAGATTAGTTTAAAGAGGACTATTACAATGTTGCCACTTTTGATCTTCTCTTTGTTAAACTTGTACTAGCATTTTTATTTCTCATAGTAGTCATTTCAGTTAAAAATGTAACTTGGAGAACAAAGTTTACACATCTAGGGAGACTAAAGTTTACGGTCCATGCGCGACAAGATCGCTACCGTCCGATGTTTCTTTGTGTGTATATGAGTGTTCTGTCTTCCTCTCTCTCTCTCTTCTCTGTGTTAGAGATAAAGAGAAAGAGAAAGGTTATGCAATCAAATTTAGCTGCGGTTCAGTGCACGGAACAAGACAAAATGTAACGTTCCCGTTTACAACTTTACGTTACTCATTTAGAAATTCTGTAAATGTTATTATACTTCGAGAGGAGATTGAAGTTTAGACGAAGTTTTTAAATCAGAAGGGATTTAAGAAAAATCTCATCGAAAAGACGAAGTTCGACGTTCGGACTACCGAACTAAAAGAAAAGAGTCCTAGTCACGTAGAGAAAAGTAGAATTTTCACAGAGAAATATTTTCATGAAGAGAAAAACGATATACCACGATATTTTATTATCTAACGCGCTCGGTTATTCCGCATCTATGAATACGGTGGGAACTTGCATGCGAGAGAGAGAGGCGCGTGAGAAAATAGCACAATATATCTCTCATGTATGTATATACATATATATACACATACACTCGCCCGCACGCCCGCGTATATATATGTATGTATGTCTGTATATAGATATACCATCATTTATTCCATCGGTTGATTTACGAGAAACATATTCGTATCATTTACAAGTGCTTTTACATTGTTCCCTTGTGTCCTGTAAATATCGTACATATATAGGATGTCTCATTTTAATCGATCATCAAGATTATTTGATAATACTAGAAAATAAAGCAGATAAAAGCGAACAAATTTAATTGTCAAATTATAAAAAACAAATAGTTTCAATCCTAAAGTGTGACAAATTACTTTGTTTTCTTTGTAATTAAATTCTTAATATAATTTCATAGTTTTTCTTTTCATAATAACTAACAACTTGAATATGATGAGTCAATTAAAAAAAACAACCCATGTGTCACATTATATACATATATTTTTCTACATACGTGATATGTTTCATATACATCCACTTTAACTAATAATAAAAAAGAAAAGTTTCGACATCATAAAAAGCGCGCGTTCCTTGTTTCCCTTAGTTTTGTGTTGCCTCGTACGCGTTTTTGCGTATCGGCATTTCCGTAAACTCTTTCACCGATAACGGAAGCCTATGCGCTGCTAACAATCGAATTCTCTCAATAGGATTTTGATGATATACGTTAGCTCGAGCGCAAGTGGCACGTCATGCTGTTTTGCTTTTCTCCTACACGAGAAACTAATCGTCCGAGCAACCGCAAAGCTTTTATATCTCATTTAAAGTTTTACGAGTTTGATCGATTTTTCATCAAGATATCGAGTTGGTCAGAAAATTCGTAATGGTTTTCGATAAACGACAATATTAATATTCTCTTGCCAAATGTGTTCATACATATATACATATATGGATATTTATATATACATGTATATATTATGAAAGATGAAGAATTCATCAGGGAAAAAAATATATTAAATTTTATCTCTAAAATTTTCATAAAAAGTCTCTATGAACTTTATGAGCAACCCGATAGATAGATAACCCAATTTGTTAATCTATTGGAAAAATTAAGTAAAAACGTGTGAAATTTTATTAAAGCTTCTTTAAATAAAAATGTACGAAAGAAGAGAAAAAATATGAAGCTAGTATTTTGAACATTTGCTGTACTGTTCAGTACATAATATGAAAGATCTTTAATTATATCGAAAAATTTCGTTACCTTCTCTCCCGCCTCTATTTTCCCATCGCGCATTGATCGCGAAAAAAATGGAGAAACGATTTCGTGGAGAGTTGTGAAAGAAATAAAGCATAGGAAGAATGATTGGAAAAAATTCTCCTAAGGAAGGGCAATATCTCGAGAACATCGATAAAGTCGATATCTATATAGATGATTATTTTATATGGGAAAGGCGCGAAATGGAAGAGTGCTTTTTCATGGTTTTGTGAGAACTTTAAGAGGGCGCTGCGTAGGAGATAGAGGATGCTCGATAACGCGGGAAAAGGACAAGTAGAAGCGTTCGATAGAGACGTGATGATTTCGGCGTTACAAGCAAAAGGAAGTCACGTAACCGTGGCATTGAAAGACTGTACAGGAAAAAGATAAAGATAAAGAGAAGGATTAGAGTCGCTCACCAGTCTTCTTTCGGTGATAATAATCACAGTCGCTGCAGGTTGGTGGTGGCAAAAGTCGAGGTGGATGACCAGTGTCCTCCAAAATTGCAGTACCTTCGACGCAAACGTCCTTGTAGCCTTCTGGAGGACTGAGAGTCTCCTGTTGACGCTCGCCTCCTTCGCGAACGGTCGAGTCAGCGCAATCGTCGGGAACGATCGTCGGCACTTCCTGCCGATTAACCAACTCCTTCGGCTCGCGTTCGGCTTCGAGTTCGGCTTTATGCTCGACGGCATCGGGTTCGAGTTCGCATGCTATCTCTTCGACTTCATCCTTCTTACGAACTTCTACAGTCCGCAGATGTTGTTGTTGGAGATTTTCCACGTCATTCGTATTGATACCGACGTTGACGTTAACAGCGGCATTGACAGCAACGTTGACGGCCGCTACGACGTCAACAACGTCCTCTTCGTCGTCCTCCTCTTCCTCGTCGATCGCATCCTCTTCTTCGTCCTCATCTTCATCCTCCTCCTCGTCAACCTCCCCATCGGCGCTACCGTAACGGCCATCATCCGTGACGCCAAAGTGGAGATTTAATTCCGCCCGGCACTCCTTGCAATTGCCCAACCGTATAAGTTCGTGCTCCTGACAACAACAGTCGCAATCTTCCTCGTACTCAGCGCAACACTCTTCCTTTATAAGTATAATATAATCAGCGGCAAAGAACTCATTAAGTTTCTCATTAATGACTACGCGATTCTTCCGAGTTTTGCCCTTCGTTTGGCCGGGCTTCTTTAGTAAAGACTTAAGGGTCTTCGTAGGCGCTTCCGCCGAATGCTTACTCCCGTGTTCCTTCATGGTCGTGCACCTTACCACGATTATTCGTAAACTCGCCGTGAACGCGGCTCTAGTGCGTTTTAGCTAAGACAGGTTCCTTCTTGAAGAGGCTCCATCGCTAATTGTACAAACCAGAGAAGAGAAGACAACATCCTCGGACGTTCTCGCAAGAGATAGCAGCCGCGACGATCACTCTTCTTCTCTTCTCCTCGCGCGGCACCATCGCGGCGGCGCGTACTCGCCGCCGCCGACGGCCGCCTTCTCCGCATCCCTCGCACCTACGGCAAGAGGGAGGCTTCCGCTCGATCGGACGCCTACTCGTCGACCTCCATCCCTCTTCTTCAACCCTTCGACTTCTCTTCTCTTTCTCTTTTTTTTCCCTTTCTCTTTTTTTATCTCAACGAAATAGAATAATATAACGACAGGTGCTGCTCAGCAAGTACCAAAGATTCGCAAAACTTTATTCCCCTCACTGAAAAAATAGCTTCGGAGGGTCTCGTTTCCGGTAACGTCCTCGCATTTATCGATCTCGCACCGCGAAGGAGACCTTACCGCTTCGATTTGTCTCTCCCTCTTCCTTCCTTCTTTTCTTTCTTTCTTCTTCCTCTTATTCCTTTTTTTTGCGTTAGTAAAAGACTCGCGAGAAAAACTACGCGCAACTCTGAAAGACTTTTCAATACGAGTGTCACGCGAATAATAGCGCCCGTACACTTACCACTCGTCTTCTTTCGTAGCTACGCTCGCTCGTGCCCGCACTAACGGCTGTCTTCAGCGAGAGAGCACCGCACGAGCTCGTCGAGCGCGCTCGCCGGTCAATGGATTGTTCCTCGTGAGATAGCTCGACGAGAGCGCTCATTTCTTTTCTTCGTTATCAACGCCGTCGGTAAGCAGTATCTCCTCATTACCGACGGTACTAATTTTTCATATCCATTAATTCGAAAACCGGAAAGAATTGGTATAGAGCTCAAACGCAACTTAATCTTTGCTTTTATTATTCTCTTAAATGCGTTTATTAGGAAGTCAACGTTACATAGTTAGTACTTATTTCCATTGTAACGTACTTATCTTATTATCTCGATAACGAAGACACGAGCATTTTGGTTAAAAGCGTATGTGTATGTACCATGGTGTTTTACGTGGGAATGTCGATAAAGAAAGATTTTCGCGCACTAATTTAAACGTTAACAAACGTAGAAAATGTCAATGCGTCGTTGAAGAAACAGTAGAATGCGAAAGATCACAAATTATACGCTCGTATACATTTAAGTGTAGTCGTAGATATTTACAGATAACTAGAAAGCAATACGAGATGCTTATATCTTTTTGACGTTACTACTATCGCATTCATATCTTCTTATTTCACAGAGTATATGCGTGAACGAGATAAATATTAATGATTATATGCTAAATAACAAATGTTTTTTAGATAAATCGCCACATTATATAGAGCAGTATTTTCATGAAGATCGTTAAAAAAAGACGAGAATTTCGTAAACGTTACAAACATGCCGGTTATTTATAAACATATATTTCAACCTTGTCCTGAGTAATATAGTTCTTTGTATATGTTTTGCTACACTCTTGTTATTCTATATTAAATATTTTACATAAATATTTAAAAATAAAAGAGACTTACATAATGTTACGATTGGTACTTAATATATTGCGGTAATCCTGCTATCTTAGTTTCTATACGAGTCTTTAACTTAACGTTTATATGTAAATGCGTAAAAACTATGAATTTGTTTTTGTTTCACATAGAAATACAATTTCCGAGTGAATTATAGCTAATTACTTAAAATTATACTATTCGATTTAGCATCGAATAATATTATACTTCAGTGTTATTATGGATCGTAGAAGTAAAAAGAAAACTTCGTAAATGGTGGACCTTGCAAGACTGATCGGTTACAAGGCAGCGGTAAATTTTTAAGCCTTTACGCATCACACTAGATACTATTAAGATTTCCCAAACTTTCAACGTTTTCTTTATTTGCATAAAAAAATTCATTGATGAAGAAAATACTGATATAATTTTTTCAAATATTTAAGATTAAATAAAATTACAATAACGTAAATAGATAACATTCCAATAAAAAAAAGGACGAAACGAAAAAGATATAAAACTAATAGACATATGATATAACCGATAAGTTCTTTGTTCTTAAGACAAGTAATATTCTTGTATAAGTGATAATTCAATATAAAATATTTAAATACTCGTATAAGTAATAATTATTGTAATCATTGTAATGTTGAATAAAAATACAATTTTCTGATTAGTATTTGTTAAAATCAAATAATAAGATAAAGAAGTAACAAAAATTACCCCAATTCAATATAAATAGAAAATTTGTAATTATGAAAACGAAAATGGTTTTACTTTTACCAAAATGAATATATAATAATCGTTAATTTATTTCTTAGAAAGTTGCCATATTTACTTGAATACTTGTTAAATTTGTTAACGAGTGTAATGTAAAGTGCAAGATAGCCACTTTACATTGGATAAAATAGCACTTCGATTCATAAATGTGGATTACAACAACAAATGCATAAATGTCATCTGCGCAATTTTCTGAGACCATGAATTATTTACATTTAACAAATTAATATCTCTAGTCAGCTTTACGTGGCTTACGCTTACGAACATTCGGACTGCTGGTATCTGCTTTGGAATCCTTTTCTTTACTGCTTGTTTCAGTTATTTCCTCCGATTCTGAACCTTCTTCATCTACTAAATCATCTTTTACATTTTCAACGATTTCATCATCTCCAGAACTTTTTTCTTGTACAACTGCACCGCTTCCATCCTGCTGTTTCTTCTTTCCTTGAAGTTGTATAGATTTAGGTGGATAAATCAAGTCAATAAGGCATATAATGATCTGTAAATATATAATGAATATGTTGATTAATATGTGATAGTAACATAGCTTATAAATTAGATAATAAATATTGCAAATTATAGAAATTTAACTTACTATGCCCAATATAGCACCTAGAATAATAGTTGCAATAGCAAAGATCAAATAACTTCCCCATGTTGGCAATCCAAAATCTTCTGTAAGATTATTATGAATACCCTGAAAAAACAAAAGGAATATATATATATATATATATATATATATATATATATATATATATATATATATAAAGATAAAATATGAAAAATAATGAGCTTTGTTAATTAATATAATAAAAATAAATCTATAATTACCCTTAATACTTGTGATAATCTAAAGAATTGACTAAGAACAGACATATGAATAGAAGTTGGACTTTTCCAACTAGGTATAGGATCAATCTTCTTCCAAGTTTTTTCTGATACAAATTCAATAAGTGCATCTTCATCTCTTGGACTCTTGTATTGTCTGAAGACTCCATCTATTACACTATAAAATAATAATAATTAAATAATTGTTCTTTAAAAATATAATTGACATAATTATATGAAATAACTTACTGATAAATAGTAGGCAAAGCTGTAACCATGAAGCGGCCACTAAGTCCTGGAGAATTAGTTACATCTACTTTGCCAACATTTATATTTAGATTTTCTTTCCAAGAAGCTAGATGTTCCCATATAGGCTCAAGAGATCTACAAGCTGGACACCATGGAGCATAACTGTAGAAAACAATTGAAAGGAAAAGATTGAAGCTTTCATGCTATGAATCATTTTAAAGTAATCATTATGAACATGTTTTTTAAATTTATTATAATTTTAAATTTATTACATTTTTAATTTATTATTATATTTATCGTAATAAATTTTTAACGTAAATGCAATAATTTAATATTTCCATACTAATTTCTAATTATATTCAATTAATTTGAACTATAAATGCAGAAAAAAAAGAACTTAAAATCTTGGCGCAACGCCGCATTTTACACGCCATCAATTTTGACGACTTCATCCATCGTTTCAACTTACAATTCCACCATCCATTCTCCATGAAGCATACGATCCCAATTTTCTTCATCGAGCTGTTCTACTAAAGATTCTTTTGCCACTCGTTGATTATTTGCACTTACAACTCCCAAGAGGAGAGAAAAACATGCGATGTAAAAGGCACGTCCCATCCCAGCGCACGACATCTTACTTTACTAATATTCACCGGTATCCACTTCTGTGCGCGCCATCGGCCACTAAACATTTAAGCATAGGTCCAAACATATTTCGATATAAAGCGTATGATTCAGGTTTTAACTTTGAATCATAAGAATGAGACTTAAAATGAGTGACCAATCCCAAATATGAATAAAACAGCCTATTCAGAAATCATAGAAATTAACACATTAACTTTATAAATGTAACTTTAATTTTAATTGGATGCTTTGTTGGACTATTTTAGGCTTACGTAGAGAAAAATTTGATATTGCTCATACGTGTTTATATCAATGAGTATTCAAAGCAAAGTAGTAATATCGAATATGAATTAGGATTTTTTGTTCCGAAAAACTTGACCAATAACTTATTGAATTTGTTTATAATAATTATGTTTAAAGTGATTTAGGTGATCTAAAATGTGAGATGATGAAATAGTTTTAAACGAGTACTTTTTTCAATTCATTTAAGATTGTATTGTTGTTATTATATTTTGTCATATTGGATAGTATGAATCAAATTGAAAATTGGTTGTGATGAGTGCGTCCCTGTTGACAATGATACATAAATAGTGAACTTTAAAAGTATGAGATTGATCGAAATAATATTTATGAAATGTTGATTTCAATCAAAACTATGGTTTTTTTTAACGAATAAAAATAAAAATATAAGGAGTATGTAGAAAAAAATGTTCGAAATATTTAACATCTATTGTGTTCACTTTATACAAAATTTACAAAATGTTTTATAGAAATATTCGTTGTTTTTATAAATTTTATGTATTAAAATTCATTATCACAAGATGTGTATATATTTGTCAGGAACAAATAGTTTTTATATAATTAACAACTAATGTCATACTTTATAAGTTTTATCTACTTACTTCTTATATATGTATCTATGTGTATGTAACTTTATTTTTACGAATATATTTTAAATTAAATTAATTTTTTTAAATATGATTTTAAGTCTTCTTGATAATAAAAACTGTTCACATATTGTGTATAGTAGAAGTCAAATTTTTATCAATTTGATTGAACTGGATTGTTTAGTACATGTCTTAGTATAAGGCAGATATTTCGATTTAATTTTATATTTGTATGTTCAAATCATATAGAAATTATGGATATATGTGAAACTTCTCTTGGAATTATTAAACATGTTGAACATAATTGATCTTCCTGATATTGTGCTGGAGACTGTTCTCTCTAACCTTACTTACGATGAAATTTCTAGATACAGAATCGTAAGATACATATAAGTCTATGTTGACTACATTGTGTCATGTGATTATTAAGTGAAAAAATAAACTTTTTAACTTACAGGTATGTAAACAATTTGATCGAATTTGTAAAAAACTACTAAATCGTGGTTTCAATCTAATGGAAAAATATCATGCACAATGTCTACGTGCAGTAAAAAGTCAATTACCACGTAGGGAATCTGAACGAAGAAGTCATCCCTTAGCACGTCATTGTGGAATATTAACAGCAATAGAGACAAGAATATCAATGTTATCAATGACATTTATCAAATATGTGGACTTAAACTTATGTTGCTTCATTCCTGGAAAAGTAAGTTGTTATAATTAAACGATATAACAAAGTTTAAGAAATATCCCATCATATTCATTATATGAGTTTCAAAATTTATATTCATATATGGTGAATATGATAATTTCTTTAACTTAGACCATAGTTCTAATATAAAAAGTATCTTTGATGCATTAGGTAATCGATGAAATATTTCGTGTTCTTCGTTTGATTCGTGATTCAAAGACTCTACCTACACCACATGAAATATTGCAAGAATTACGTGATATTAGTAGTATGGCTATGGAACACTTTGATGAAAAAATTTTACCAGATTTAAAACATAGTACTTGTACATCTGTTAGTAATGTGGGTTCTTATGAATTGCCTAGTGGAAGTTCAATAATTTTACATCATACTACAAGTTCAAATAATACTACATTATCGCATAGTTATAGTACAGAAAAATTAAACCAAACATTTAAGAAAATTTATAGTCGTACTAAAAGAAATAAAATTTCTGTAACATTTGTAAAATTTGAAATAACTAAAATGAAATTAAGAATGAGAAAACAAATGATTCAAATGCGAGTCCAAAATTTGAAACTTCAAAAGCAAGCAAAAAAGATTCATGATCAAGATACACAGTTGGCAGAAATGAGAAAGCATCTGGAAGAATGGAAACAAAAAATGGGTGATTTAACTGCTGAATTAAGTAGGGCAAGGGAAGAAATACAAAAGCCTGATTCTATAGACACTTGCAAAAGAAAACATATTGATATTATCAATCAACGTGACTTTGATTCCCTTCAAACGAAAGAATTAAAAGCTAAAAAGCGTAAATTAATTGTAGAAAGAAAACCTTCAAATGATGCAAAAGATGTCAAATTTAAAAAGTTTATATCAGATCTTCTTGCAGGAAATGCAGTAGAGGGATACCCGTCTACTTCACACTAAATCTTTTCTGTAAATAGTAAGGTCTTGTTCAAAGGCATGTTCTATTATAATATTGTTAATTTTATACTGTGCATTTTGAGTTATTATTTAATAAATATAACCAATTAAATTTATACATATTTACACTATGTTTAAATTATACAAATTTGTCAAAAATAAGTAATACAGTATTTCATAAATTTAATCATATCTCGAAGATATTTAAATCTCATATATTAATAAAAAAAAAAGATTTATCCCTTCTATGCTACATTCCTGGCATATAATTAATATTCTTATAGATCAGATCAATAATAATCATATCTTTCTTTGAAAAGTAAAAATGTGATAAACTGTATTATATAGAAAAAAAAAATTGGATGGACTATAGATAACTCTAACATAGATATAAGGAGTGAATGTACATTTAAACTTTTCAAAAGAATTATAAAGTTCCATATTGAAATGAAATTCATAGCTATTGTATCTTTTATAAAAAAAATTCAATCATAAATTATTTATAAGTTAAATTTGCTTAAATTCAATTTTAGATCAATCATTATACACTTTCCTCTGAATCTTCGCTGTTTATAAGTTCAACAGGTAGAGAATCTGATGAATTTTCATATAATATTGCGTGTGCACTTTGTAAATAGCTTTGTTGTTTCTTTTTAATCTGTTGTCGAGCATTAAATTTTCCTACTTCTGGTAAGACAAAGTTATAAATCATATCTGCTACCATTTCTTCTTCTTCAAAATCCGTCATACTAGAACAGTTTTAATTAATATTAATACATTAGTATTTGTTGATTCACATATACTTCATATTTTATTAAATATAGTATTAGTATTTAAATTATATTAATGAACAATAAAACTGTGTGGTAACATACTTTCCTATTGTATCATTTGAAATTTTGTCCACATGATCAAAAAATTGTAAGATATGTTGTTCAGCATTCTGATATGATATTTCTTCAATTTCTTCCTTTATAATATCATCTAAATAAATTTCTACGGTATCTTGATCTATTTTTATTATTTGCCGGAACATTTCATTGCATTCCCTACAACGATTACGTTCTAACTGTCGTCGTCCAGCTTCTGCTGCTTCACGTTTTAATCTTTCTTTTTCAGCAAATAATGCAAATATATGTGCATTGCGTTCGTCTTTCAATCTTACCATTTCCTTATATTAAAAAGTATATAAGCAACTTGATAACAAATAGATGATATGATTCAGCAGAAAATCGTTAGTTTTCTTACTTTACTTAAATGATCTAATATTCCACATACAGTTGCTCCTTCTAAAGAATCAAAAATTTCACACAAAAATTCTTCTTGTAATAATCTATTATGTTCTTTATGTTGAATATCAATTATTTCTTGTTTTTCTATTTGCCTTACTTCATTATTATGATCCATAATATCATAAGCAAATTGCAGTTCTTTAATTAGTTCTCTACATCTATTAGTACCTTCAAACATCTATAAATGAGTATTATTCTTTTTCAATATTTAAGATAGATGCCTCTTAATTCTAAATTGATGGAATTAAAAGTTAATATTATAATGAATTAAAAGTTTTTATGTATAAGAATCTGGATTATTCTGATTCTTATTATTTGCTGTATATCTCTATAAAAAATAAATTAAATACATTAATTTCTACAGAAATTAACCATGTTCTTATTACAAAGAAATATAAAATATTTCTAGGAAAGACCATAGAAAATAATAAATATAATATAAAATGTATGACATTACCATACATTGAGTTGCTCTACCCCTAATTGTTTCTTGGATACGTAGTGCTGCTTGATCTAACAATGTATCTTTGTATTCCTGAACTCTATATGGTGTAGATGGTAATATAGGAATTTTATATTTCTTTTTCATTGATGTTGATGTCTCTGAGGGCATAATATTTAACCTCATTGCTTTTAAATCCATGTATAATGTTTTTAATTTATCATCAGTCCATCTTGTTTGACGAATACATAATTCCGTTGGTAATACATGTTTTGATTTCGATTCTTTGTAACTTGGTAATTTAGTTGATATAGTATCAATATTTTTTATTTCTGAGTAAAATATAATTTTCATATATGTAAAAAATTTTAATTAAAATTATGACGTATAAAATAAGAGAATAAATTATTTAAAGTTACGATCATACTTTCATGATGAATATTATCATTTCTTGATGACTGCTTTTTCATTTTTCTGAATTGTCCTGGAGAATATTTTTCAAAATTTAATTGTGATCTATACAATTTAGAAGCATAATTAATATATGAATGTATAGTATCTCTTTTTTGAAGCTGCTTTTTATCATAATGTAATTTATGCAATTTTCTCAAATCTCGTTTTAAATTTTGTCTAATAACTTTTATTTTCTCATCTCTATACATTCCTAAGTTATTTTTCAAACGTTTGAAGCGATTTTGTATATTCTCATTATGTTTATATTCTTTTGAATGTGAAAGTTTTTCCATTAACTGAAGACGCAGATCCATTATGTATTGTATTTCCTTTTCTCAACAAATAATCGATGTTAAATATATATTTATATGATTTATATACGTTTTGAAGATATATAAAACAATGTACTTACTGCATCTCTAAATGCCCATTGTTCTTCTTCTAAAGCTTTTGTTATACATCTCCGTATTTTAATATTAGCTTCTGTATCCATTGGTGGAAGAAACATTTCCCAAGCCCTTCTCATTTTTATTCTATTAATAATTTCAATTTCATGCATTCCTGCTGGTAATCCATGATCCCAAGTTAAATGAGTCACTGTCAGTACTTCTGGATTATGACCTAATTAAAAAATAAAATTATATTTATAATTTACTATATTAATTTCTCTATGTAATTATACCTGGATGTATTTTGTACTGAGGTTCCCATGGTAGTGTCTGTGTCTCACTTTCTCTATAATCTGTTTGTGTTTCTACATTCTTAAACAACTTTGATTGCAGTGTTGATATGCAATATTGCTGTTTCATATTTTTCAAAACAGTGTCCAATATTTTAGTGTCATAACGTATATTTTTATCCTGTGTTGTTGGAAAATACTGAAATGCGGTTGATCCTTGAAAATGTCTACATTTTTGATGAGTTATAAGTTCAATTGATTTACAATGTGTAGCCATAGTTCTGTAATTTATATTATAAGTTAAGTAAAATATATCAATTAAAGCAACTATTTAGTAGGCCATATTTGATTCACTGCACACAAATATAGGGAGATTAATAGGTACTGATTTAATCTTAAGCTTTTTAGATACCTTCTGATCAAATATATGAAAATTTCTCTCTTTATATAAAGTTATATTTTAATATGTAAATATTTTCGCTTGATATTTCAAATACATAATAATTGTGAAGAAACAGTAGAGAATCACATTATGTACACTGTAGAAAATAATGGACATATTGATCAAACAAGGAATGATGATTCTACTATTTTGAAAAAATAGATAATCCTTGCATTTTTTTTATTGAGTAATAAGCTTAAACTAAAATAAATATAATTATTATTTTAATATCATTAATAATACAAAAATATAAGTATATTAAAATAAAAATATGACAAAAAATATTGTATTTAATGGATTAATATGGACATTTATTTATATTTATCACATTACAATAGAATTTATATTTCAGGAACTTGCTTATAAAAACTATTTTGATCGGTAATTATATTTGGTGGTAATTATATTTGTAACATCTTTCTTTTATATTAATTAAATAGCAAAGAATAGGAACAATTTATGCAAATATACTATACAATGTTTTTTACTACAGTATGGATAAATTGTTTATTCAAAGAATCAACTAAATTTTCGACGATATAAAGATCTATTAAACTTCAGGACATTTATATTATCAAGATTAATAAAATATGCAGTTTTGTCTGTAAAAATATAATAATGTATCATATCATTATAATATATTATCTTTACATTTTAATGGCACATGATGTTTGAGTAAGTATAATCAGAATCAAATGCAAATCTACCATCAAATATACATTTACTATTAAATGTTTTATAACATGTGAATTCTGTATATTATAGTATTTCTTGTAAATAATAATTATTCTGATTAATGTTTTATATAAATATCTAAATTTTTCACATTAATACTTGTACTTAAGTTCCATAATATCTCAGAAAGTTTAATTCAACATTACATGTTAATTCAATATTACATGTTACATAAAAAATTTTTTCTCATGAATTTTAAATATTTCTATGTAATGGTCTAAAATATCCACTGCCATATAATCCCAAATATTCTGGCCAACTTTGCTTAGATGCAATGGTCTTACATACTTGATTAGGTAATATATCTTCAGGACAAATACATTCTAACTTCATTCTGTATACTGTCATTTGTCCAAGTACAATATTAATATTATTTTGTTTTATTGTTTTTTCAAATAAATTATAATTATCATTACGTTCATTCAAACATTCTATAATAAAATCTGCATTTTTTCTATGATGCATATTCTTCTTAGATAATATTTTTTTTTTGTATATACAATCTAAATCTTCTCGTAACAATGTAATAGATGTTTCTGACAATAGTGAATCAAAAGTTGAGAAAATCAAATCTACAGAATTTCCTTCCTTTGAATCTACAAAAGAAGGTAATAATATACCACTGGATCGTTGTCTTTGTTTATTATAATTTATTGATTTATTTAATATGTAATTTGATTGTTTAACTCTTTTTTTTCTAACTATTGACGAAAATAAATGTTTATTATTATTTATTACAGAATCTCTATTTGTTGTATCATTATTAGTCACTTGTCTACGTTGTTCTCTTAACTCATCCATTTGCGAATAATCAATAATTTGATCATCTCCCTTATTATTACTGTTATTGTTATCATATAATGTATCATATTCTTTTATATTTCCTAAGTTTTTATTTGTAATCCATTTATTTTTACGATAAAAAGAATTCTCAATATCTACATTTTCTAAGTTATTTAGTTGAAAATTAGTATCAAATCTGTTATCTCCTTCAAAGTGTTCTTGATTTTCATATGTCATTTCAGGAATCTTTTGATTGTAATTATTTAATTCTTCAAGTATATTCTCATCTCTATTATGCTTAAGCATTATTCCTTTGTCATAGTCTTTATATATTTTTGGAGTATCAATGTCTATTGAATCCATATGATATGATTCTAAATATTTATCAATTTCTTTTTCTATGTCAACAGAATTATTAAGTTCTAATATTTTATATTCTTCTGATGAGTATAAAGTTATACCAGGTGGTCCAACATGTTGACTCAAAGCTAATAGATTTGTAGTTAATGTTGAGTTAAATATTATTTTACATAAATCAGTTTGTGACGGAAAATTTTTGTTTTTCGAAAATCGATATGTTCCTTTAAAATCTTCATTATGTGAACAATTACTAGACCAGTGTAAAAACCAATCATTGCCAAAACCATCAATAGTAACTGATAAACCTGATATCTGTTTATTTAAAGTATCTTTTATTGGTTTTTCTAGTAAAGGTTGTCCAGTTTGTCCATCAATGATCATAGACATGGTATAATTAGGAAATTCTGATTCTACTTCATGTTTTACCATAAAATCTGGAATTTCATCATCATTATAATAACCAGGTATTGGACTGCTTAATATTTCAGAATTAGGGACAGTGTAATTCCAAATTGGATCAAAAGTTAATCCATCATAAGCTATAATAGTAGAGTCAAACATAAATGCAACAATATCTGCAATTCCATCCATTGTTACGTCTGCCAAAACAGGAGGTAACAGTGCTGCTTTTCCAGAGCTATGGTGCAATTCCTTTAGTTTCTATATAAACATATATACATACATATATATATATATATATATATAATATATAATATAACAATATTAAATATCAATGTACTTCACAGTATAATTATAATGAACTTACCAATTTACCATGCATAAAATTAGTACTAGATGCTATATATAATGCACCTGATTGCATTTGATTATTTGCAGTTAAAACAAATATATTTTCACCATCCGGATGTACGATTGTCTGTGGAATAGAAAATAATTCTATGTTTGGGGTATTAATGGTATATAGAATATGTCCTTTTTTTGCTGATACAATAAGAATTCTGCTGCTACGTGATAAGTCAGATTGAATAGTGCCTGTTACAATAACATCACCAATACCATCTCTATCAGTATCAGGTATAAATTTTGCATTGTATATATGAAAAAGTATTGAATCCTCAGATGATGATAGTTCTTCGTTTGATATTTTCCATATACTCAATCCATTTTGTCCATTAATTGCATAAAGCATTCCATCTTCTCCTGAAGCAATGCAATCATTAATTTTATCATTTGTTATGTCCAGTCCACAGTCTATTGAAAAAATTCCATAAACAGTCCAATGAATCCAAAGTGTATTTCCTGTTTTGCCATCTAATGCTAATATTCCACCCAAACAAGGTACTTGGTTTTTAAGGTAATCATAGCATCCTGGAGTATTTTCTGCATTTAAACCTAATTATAAGAAATATGTATCAATATCATATATTAACGCAGTAAGTATATATCAACTATTATTATTATTAATAACATAACATATTATTTATTCACCTTTGTAATTGTAAATGATAACAGACATGCTATGATTATAAAATAGATATCTGAAAAAAATAAAGCATAAAAATCATAAAAAATTAAAGTTTATAAAAACATTGGAATTTTATATGAAAAAAAATTAAAAATTATATTAAAACAAAATTATATTATAAATAAATATAAATTATAAATAGATAAAGTACAAACCTGTACTAAATCCAATAATAATGTCTTCAATTCCATCTTTATTAACATCATTGCTTCTCAAAGGAGCTTCCGAAGTAAATTTTGATATTGTTCTTTTCCATATTATCTTTGATGACAATGATGTACATGGAATTATATGTACTTTGCTGACTAAAGATTTTAATTCATGAGTTAGGAATTGTTTAAGCATAGTAATTGACGATGGAAATACATTAGCAATATATATAAAAAAGGCAATGAAGCCTAATAGAAATACTAATGTTATGAACCCACAACAAATGGGTGTAAAATATGCTTTATAACGTAATCTATGTACTCCAACTTTATAAAATTTTCTAAATTTTTTACGTGGCGCCATAAGGGGCCGTTTAACTCCACCATCTTCATCTAATTTTAATCCTCCATTTTTTCCATCTCTAACAAATACTTCATCATCGATATCTGTCAAATCATCTTCATCTGGGCATTCTTGCACCATAAATTTTGGTAAAGCAGGATATACTTCCATCATTTTTTATAGCCATAGAATCATTTCATATTAAAATTGAACTTAATATATGATTAATTTTAAACAATTTTGAAGAATTATTAGTTGTAAATATAAATTATCATTGTGTATTGACATTAAAATATGATAGCCAAATAATCTACTCTGTTATTGTTTTATACTGTGTTTCACTTATAGGAGATTATTTTTCAATAACTCAAAATTTAGTTATTGTTTTAATATATTTCAATCAAATAAAATATTTTCACATAGGATGATAAAGTTTTAAATACACTAACTTCTTTAAAACCATACGAAATCAATAGAGAGACTTGCAAATGGCGGGTGCCTCCCTCTATTCGATATTTTCTACTTTTATTGTTTATAATAAACTAACACCTCCCTTTGTCAATCACGTTTAACTATTAGTTGGATGTTACTACTTGTAGCAGAGTTATGTTTTATCGACTTTATTTAAATCGGCCGGTAATAGTATAGCTCTTATATCATTATAATTTTTTTACTTTGCTTAGAATTCGATATTCTAAAAGAATTCCGGGTGATACGAATTACAAAACATTTTTACACGTACCGATAATGTTCACTACTTTTTTTTAAACGATTTTCTTCTAAAATTCAAACTGAAGTGCAATTTACTTTAAATAAATTTTCTAAAAGTAACATCAAGCGCTTCGATTAACTTGTATGTAATTATAATGTTAAAAATCGTTTCACAAAAAGATTAAATTTTCTTCTTTCGAGGAAGAAATAAGATGATGGGTAATGGCGCGAAATTTGAACATTTTTATCCAACCAAAATGAAATCTAAACTTATTCGATATTATTTCTCTCTTTTCTTCTTTTAACGTAGTTTAATTTACATATATATGTATACGTATTTATATATATGTATATATATTTAAAATATATAATATGAAAATATATTATAATTTAGATATATATACATTTAAAATATGTAATATTTTAAAAAATACTATAGGGATACTATTGTCAAGTATTATATATAACATTATCTACTATGAAAGATTCTATGAAAGAGCCTAATGATTGCACCCAATCAGATTATAGAATTTTTAGTAATTTATATTTTTAGTTAAAATAGTAGAATTTATATTTTTATTTTTTGTTTTTATAAATATTTGACACAAATAATTGCACGAAAAAATAAAAAGAATGTAATGATGAAGAAAGAAAGATGTGAATTGTTGTATTGCTGTTCATTGTTTTAAATTATTTTTGTCATATTATTTTCGATGGCAGCAATAGTAGTAGATCTTTACATTCATATTTAATTTGATTAACCTCTATGTGAAATTATTTTCACAAGCGTTTTTAGAATTGTTTAAAGATATTCATTCGTTCAATAACATTTGAGACTGTACATAAGAATTAATATAAAAAAAAATTTTCCTAACAAGATATAAATTTGGTTATGAGAATTTGTTTAAAAAGATACAGAATTCGTGTAAAACAGTTATTTCGAGAGTGATCCCTTTTAACCATGAGTTCCGCAATACAAATATTATGGAAACAAGCATTAAAAACATTTGGCAGTAGAAGAAATGCAGGTTATAAACTATATCAACAAAACTTCGATAATTTGTGGAGTCTAATCAATAAAATCACTGCAGAAGATGTGAAGGTAGACAAACAAATTCTTGATTTTGTAAAGGTACAATCTGCTCCGATGTGCGTTATTGTTGTTTTTGAAAATAAAGATATGACTATTGCAATCTTTATGTTAAAACATGGTGTTACAATGCCTATGCATGATCATCCAAGAATGCATGGCTTTCTCAAGGTACATTTATTACATATACTTGACATGTAAATATTTAAATTTATAAATACAGTAGTATTTTTTATTTCTATATATCCTTCAATATTCAGAGTTAAAATATCATAGAGTATTATATAAATGATCTATATGAAGAGATAATAAAATTCAATATTTATTTTATACAATTATAAGTTTTAAGTATTATTATGAGAGACTAAGTATATTTTAAATAATATCGTAGGTAATCAGTGGTACTGTTGAAATAAACAGTTTTACTTTAAAGACCAATGGTGATCATATAAAAATGAATGAAGAAATAAAAGCATTTAGGCACAAACCTGTAATACTCCACAAGAATTCCCCTGCTTGTGTACTCACACCGCAGGATAAAAACTTGCATGAAATTTCATGCATAGAAGGACCAGCTGCATTTTTAGATATACTTAGTCCCCCTTATGGTGTAGATGATTCTGGAAAAGGTCCTGGACCATGTACTTTTTTCAAAACAGTTAATTCCAAACCTTGCACAGATTCAGGAGATATTATTGAAGAAGTTCAATTGGTAATTACAGAAAAACCACCAGGCTTTTATTCGCATAATCTCAAATATACAGGGCCACCTTTGATGTGATAATGTATACCTATTTCTATCACATCTTTTAGTTTATAGAAATATGTATTTTTTACATATTAATAGTATTTACTTACAAAAGGGTATTTGTACAAATATAAGTTATTCAATTTACATTATTGTAAACAAAACTATTTTCATTCATTTGCATTTAAATGAAATGTGTTTATGTATATATACATATTTATGTCAATGTATCTTCAAAAAAAATATAATCAATAAGTAAAAGTAAAAATAGATATAGAAACAAATATTTTTTTTGCTAAATATTGGTATTGATTTTATGTATTAGACGTCATATTATTTTTATTTTATTTATTATTATATAATTTTTTTTAATATTAAAAGTTAATATAATTGATAGATATGTGCATATTTTTTATTATACTATTAATAAGCCAAAGTCATTATTGATTATTAAAATAGAATGTTTAGATAATTTATCTTTGTATCACAAATATCTGCTTCATATATAGTACAAATGAAAGTCAAAATGTAAGATGCTTTGTTGTACTGATATGTATTTCCTGTTTAAATTAAAAGTTAATAATTTGTATATATAAGACAAATCTTCAGAAACATTGAAGTGTATTTATAATAATTTCTGTATCATATAGTTTAAGTTTTATATTAAGTTGATGATTAATACTTTTGCAAATCAACAAAATTATATTTAACGATTAATTAAATACAGTATTTTCTGAAGATATATTGTACTTAATAATTATTTAGTAATTGATTATTAGTTCTTACAGGAAATTAAATAATCGAGTATGTTTGTAGTCTTTAAAAAATATAATTTTTGTAAATAATTTTTTCAAGATTCAAATTCGATTATATACAATTTAATATTGCTAAACACATAAATATAAACTTTTATTTGTCTTGAAAATCTTGATTATGAAATTTTTATTGAAAATGTTAAATCATGAAATATTACAAAATGTATGTTAAAAAATAATAAATGTATAATATCAGCAAGGGTTATACGATTACAACATTGTATAGGAATCTGGGTTGAACTTTACTCTTTATAGACTACATCAGTCAAATGTTTATATTAAATAAAAATTTGCTTATGAAATATGCCTGTTATTGACAATTTACCAAAATGTAGCATAACAATAATATGTAAGTAATAATTAATGTAATATAAATTTTTACAATTTCACATATCTACCTATTATAATTTACACAATACAAAAACTTTCAAGAATAATTTAAAAAATTTCTTATCTACTTTTATTTAATCCTTTATATTTAATGTTTTAATCTGTGCAGTATAAGAAATAAAGTCTATTACTCCATACATTTATTTTATTATAATTTTAGATTATTGCAAAAATTATAAGTGCACCTTCATTATTTTGGCAACATTTAAAAAATTAGTATCTATATCTGTTCAGAATTAATATGATATTATAATATAGTAATTTAAAAAATGAATTTATGTAATTTTCTATATACATCATTTTCTATTTTTCATAAATCTTTGTTTTTAAGACTTTGAGTAATATTGCAATATATTGCAATACAAAAAAAAAGACATTTTATAAAATGAAAAGGAAAAACAGATATTAAGATAGCTTCAATCTGTAAAATTATACTGTTTTTCATTTATTACTGTTTCATATTTTCTGATTTAGCTAGTTTGATTACTTTCTGAACTTTGCTTTCTTTTATACAATGCTACATTACTGTCTGTGTAATCCATTATACGACGCTGGCATTGTCTCACATATTGCTGCTGTTTGTGATAAATTTTAAACGCACCTTTTATAGTTATAAATGCCACACCACCCTGTAAATTTGTTCAAACGATATTGATATTTTTTAAGAGTATCTAAATACCAGAATTTCAGTTCACAATACATATTTAAATAAAAAATATATGTATACGTACAAGCAATGTCCTTTGAAAATTTGAGTTTACACTTTCAAAGAATATTTTTCCACATATGCTAGCAATAGTTGGTAAAAGAAGTGCTCCACAAAGTACGCGAGTTGCAGATACTGGGTCACTCATTGGTGGAACATCTTGTGATTGTGTTCTATCATCATCAGAATAACTATAACAGTTATATGTAATCTCAAACTTGTATTTGTTTGTTTTAGAGATTTATTCATTCATTGATGTAATCATAATTTTATAAATAAATAAAATATTTTATAGAGTACTTACCTACTAGGTAGAAAGTGCCTTAGGATAGGAACTTTGCAAGCATGTCGTCTAAGAAGACTAAGTGCTTGATCTTCCCATCTTAGCATTTTTCCCAAAACTAACATAATCGGAATAGTTGGTAGACCAACTAATAATACCAAAGGATCAGCTTGTTCCATCATAGTTAAACCATCTTTATGACCAACTACTTGCATAACTGTTACTGCTCCATAAGTTACAGCTGTCCAATATATAGATCCAATTACTATGCCCGCAGCAATAAAAGGACATACTCGAAAAATAATTCCATCAATAGTATCAAGTATTACAACCAATGGCCCTAAAATTATTAGCTATTTATATCATTTACTGAATACTTAACTAATATTTTATAATTATATTGTACTAACCCATGTTTGGATAAACGATAATGTATTCTGTATTACACTGCGGACAAGCTACATGTGCACCAGCACGACCTTTTTGTTTTTCATCAACCCAACGCTGTATACATCCCTGATGAACCCATTTTGTTGTACCTCGGCAATGGCATGGTTTTACCCAAGATGCAGTTGCATCGTCTTCATCCGTTGCAAAACAAACCCAACAATATCTCTTACTACAACATATATTGTATTTTTAAGATATTAAATTAGGTTAAAATCTTTATATACTTTTTGTGTGATATTATAAATATAATTTTATTATTAATTTAAAATATTAAATAATATAAGTTATAATGGTACTCACTCATCTTCTGAAGTTAAAGTTGGAATACTAGAATCATGACTAGGAGATGATGCCCCATCAGTTACATCAATGGAAAGTACAGGACCACTTGAATTGGTTACAGGAGTTTGAAAATTAGTTTCTTCAGTTGATAATGTAGCTGGTTGTATGTCAGACATTTCTATAAAAAAAATAATAATAAATTTCTATTTATATTACATAATAACAGATTTCTTTTTGTTAATTATTCCATATCAATATTTTCTTTTTAATATTATTATCTCACCATTATTAGATACACTAGTTTGTCGATCTGAACTTAGATTTGTACGCAGTCTTCTCAAAGTTTCATCTATACTTGGAAGACGTCTTATGTTAGTATGTGAAACACCAGGATCAATATGTACTATTCTGCCACGGCTATCAATGCCATAGGTAGTATATGATAAGTTATTATCTGACATGATGTTTTAATAAACTAACATATTCAATATTATTATATCATTATCTTGTATCTGAAATTAGTAATGACAGATTTTTACAAATATAAATCATGAAATATTCTTGGGTAAATAATTCTTTTATAGTGCAGGTATTGGATGAACAAAAATATTACTTTTAGGTGGCAGTATTTTTAATGGATTCTTTAATATGATTAACTTGTTAAATAATGAAAATTTAAACATTGAATTGACTAAGACATATATGGTTATTTGTAAATATTAAAAAATATAATTGCAATATTTAATAATTGCATACTATATTACACCACTAATTCGCTAAACGATGCTAATAATAGGTTAGATGATACAGAATTAATTGAGATAAAAATATCAAACTTATATGAACTTGAACAATATTGTACATAAAAATAAAATTTAATTCGTTTAGTTACAGCTACAATAAAAAACATACTACTACCGTATATGTTTCGTCTTTTACGATTTATCATAAATACTTATAATTATAAATAGACTTACATCTTTGAGTTCACTTTGTGATATTATCTATTTTTTTTTTTTTTTAAATAATCATCGGGAATATTGTGATTGTAACTTTAGAATAAAACACTCATATTTCGTTAGTTTTAACGGCAACTTTCCGCGAATGGAATCAGTTGAACCAATCAGATTAGCTTCATGATTTTCACTTCGTGAAGTTCCTCCAACAAATGTGTTCAAAAATACGTCGGAGAATAATTATGAAAAAAAGAATTTTAAGGAAAAATTTTATATACTTTATATAATGAATTATATATTATATTAATTATAATTTATAATATTGATATTAGCACGTATCATTGCGTTTCTTTTATTTTACTGCAAGTATATATCTAAAATTTTTCTCTCTAGAATTACATAGTTTTAGTGAATTTGATTAATGCTCAAATTCAAATTCAAACGCGATATATATTCAATTTTTTGTGTGAATTCAATTTTGCATTTAACAATTTATGTTTATAATAGGAAAGGAACATTAAACTACAAAGTAACAAATATTATCTATATGTGTTTTTTCAAGATTTAAATTATTATGCAATCAACAAAAAATAAATATGTTGTGCGTAGTTTGGAATTACGATCTTTACGTAGTTGGTTTAAACATCTTCCATCAATATACAAATCTTTTAATTATATTAATAATTCAGAATATTATCCTTACCTTTGTCAAAAGAATCAATTTAATATAGGAGAAATTATTCAAAAGTATGTAATATTTATCAATTGCAATGTATATAGCATAATCTACTTTTAAAATTAATATATATTTTTTTATTTGCATGTGTACAGTGATTATATCAATCAACAATTTATAACATTTTACATAAAATTGATTCTACGAAAATTTTTTGAATCTTGGAAAATTTATGCGATTTATAAATTGCATAGAAGAAAAACTCTGTGTGAAGTAAATCATATGTATCGTATTAAACTTAAAAGAAATGTATTTAATATTTTATCTAAAAATATAATTAAATCTAATGAATATCATAACAAAATAATACAAAGGCGATATTTTAAATTATGGAAAAAATATATAGAAATTATACGATATAATAAAAGTTTAATAAAAAAATATCTTCAAAAATCTATAACAATTTGGAAAGTATATGTACTACATAGAAAAGAGAAAAATATATTTAAAAAACAACTAGTTGATAAGGTAATATGAAGGATTAACATTTTCTGTGATTATGTTTTATAAATATACATATAACCTTTGTTAGGTCTGTAAATTATATACTTCAAATTTATTGCATAAGTATTTTATAAAATGGGCAACTATACATAATTCTACAAAAGTTTTTAAAGAACAAGTTCAAAAGATATTCTGTCATTACAAAAAAAAAATGTTAGAAAAATATTATCTTGTATGGACAGCATATTATCATGCAAAAATCCAAAATAAATTTTTAAAAGAAAGGGCTGATCAACAACATTGTCGAAAATTACTAAGAAGATATTTAAAAAAATTTGTTTTGGTATTTATGATTATATTATATAATTTTTATATAAATTATTTAGTTATATAACAATTATATGTATATGATATAATGAATTAAATATTATTTTTAGTACATTCATAAAGTTCATATTGATAGAAGAACAATGAAAAGGACAAATACTTTTTACGAATTTAAAATTATAGTTAAAATATTTAATGCTTGGGTAGAATGGTATTATCAATTCTCAAGAATATGCAATATTATGACAAAAATACAGCAAATTATAGAAAATAAAATGAAACAAAAAATCTTTCTATATTGGAAATCATACATATTTCATAAAAAATGTATGAGAAGAAAACTGTTTCTTTGTTTAACTAAATATCATAAAAAGATTTCTACTAATGCATTTAATAAATTGCAAGATTATGTTCTATATAAGAAAAGAAAACAAACACAGATGTTAAGTTTAAGTACTCGAGCAGTTACTATTATTGTTAAAATACAGAATATGTACATAGAAAAATGGAAAAAAAAATTAAATATACATATGCAAGAAAAACGTAGAATATTTCTAGCTACTGAATTGTACAATAATAATATTTTTAAACAATATCTTTTTTTGTGGAAAAAGTTTTCTCAGCAGTATAAGTTAAAATTGTTACAAAAAAAGAAATTAGATGAACGTGCTTCTTACTTTGTCTTGAATAAGTATATTATGATATGGAAACTAAAATGTGAAGATAATTATAAAATTTATAAAAAGGAAAAGTTAATTCTTTTTGTCATACATAAGAGTATACAGAAAAAGTACCTTATGTTTTGGAAAAAGTATATAGCTAAAAAAATAGATAAAAAAAGAGATATTGAATATGCAAAAAATATAAATAAAAAGTTTTTATTGCAAGAAGGATTAAGAGAAATTTTAAGAAATTCTTTATTTACTATGCAATTTCACTATGAAAGCAGAATAAAATATACAACATTAAAACTTGTAGGAGACTTTGAAATACTAAGTAAATATTTTGATAGATGGCTATCAATAGTTTATTTAAAAGAAAAATTAGAATTCCCACTTTCAGAAATAAAATATAAAAATATTAAAGGGAATATAAAAAATTATTCAATTAGAAATATTGGAGAAAATAATTCATTGTTTAATAATGATAATATATCTATAATTGTGCCATCTTTTCCTCTCTCTTCTGAAGACTATAAAAACGACAATAAATTTGAATACAATACTGTGATTCCATTTAATTACATTAAAAATAAATTTGATGAATTAGATAGTTTACTTATGTATAGCACGAATAATAATTTATACTCTATTTGTTTGTATAATGATAAATCAATGTTTTCATTACCAAATAATGTAAAACTCTTACCACCTTCTGCATTTTATTAATAAACAAAAAATTATTAACATGGCAACAACAATACAAAAATTTTATAGAAATATTTTGTTATTTTATTATTTTAATATTTTATAGAAATGTTTTGTACAGATATATAAATTATTAATAGTATGGAAGTACAAAGTATCATTTATTTCTTAGTTGTTGCTACATTAGAATCTAGTGATGTACCACATTTTGAATATTTGCTTGTTAAGGTATCTCTCTGTGATGGATAATCAACGTTTCTTACTGAAATAATAAAAATATAGATATGAACTCTCGTAAATTACTACATAAGGAATAGTAGTACTTACTGTTATCAAAACAAGGTTCCAATGTAATAATACTATTAACACTTCCCCTTGAAGAAGGAAATGTACTAGTACGACTAGTACTTTTAACTATACATTCAGTTGATTCTGTAGTACTTCCACAACGAGTTATTACAGGTGATCGATCTATTAATCTAGAAATGCAAGGTAATTCTATATTCTTGGCTACTAAGAGTTTCTTTATATAAGGTTCTACTTCCACATGGCGAATTGTAAATTCTGCAATATCTTCAAGAGCCAATGCATTTTGTTCTTGGATTTCACGTAAGTTTACATCTTTCTAAAAAATATTTTAACTTTATCAATTTCTAATAAGGTTTTTAATATTTCATATATAAATGTACATACTTCCTGTAAAAGTATCAAACTATCTTCAGTACAAGTGCACTTATTTTGTATATCTCTGTGTACTTTTCGAAGATTCTTTTCAGCTCTGGATATTTTCTCGTCTTGTTCAGCTATTTGTTTATTAAGATTAGAGAGATATTGTTCTTTGTTATCTTTCTCTTCTTTAGCTCTTTGTATATCATCAAGTAATAAAGTATAATTATCTTGCATCTTCTATATAATATCTTTTTATTACAATAAGGTTTTGATTTTTTTATGTAACTCATTGTGAATACATACCTGAAAATCTTCAGTTAAATGTTGTACATGCATTTGTCTTTTTTTTAGATTTTCTCGTTCTTTGTATAATTGTTCATTAAGTTTCTTTTGTTCTTCTTGATCTAGCCCAGTTTCAGTGACTGTACTCAAATTACTTCTGAATTTATCATTGCAAGCATTAACTATCCTCAATGTGTTCTCCATACTTTCTATTTCATACTCTGTCTTTCTTATAGTTTCATCAAGTTTATCACCTTGCTCTTGTAAAAGATATCTTTCTTGGGCATTTTGAATTTTAAGATAAGTTGTAGTAATGGGTGTTCCATCAGTACTACTGCCAAATACAGCAACACCATTGTCGTATCGTGCTTGTAATTGCTTTATTCGATTCTTTCTTTCAGAAATAGCATTACGTAATTGTGAACACTCACCCGACACAACTCTTTTTTGAATTACAAGAGCTTCTTTTTGTACTGCAATTTCCTCTTCACGTTCTTTTAATGCCTGTTGATAAAATTGTAAGAATTAATAATCTTTATATAAGTATTATATAAGAAGAAAATGTCCGTTTATTTTATGTAAATTTAAACGTTATGTTAAGAAATTAATTTTCAATTCCCAAACTCACAGCATCTAGTGTAAGTCTATATTTTTGCAAATTATAGACCTTATCTCCAACATTTGACATCATTTGTTCTATTTGTGAAACTTTGAGACGTAATATATTTTCTTCCACTTGTTTTTCTTCATTATGACTCTGTGCTACTTTTAATGTTTTTTCACCACCATCCATAAGTAATAGAAAATCTTGTTTTTTATTTTGTAGATGCTCTAATTCTCCACTGTCATTTGCTATGCTATTAGTGATTTTTTTCCTATCATACTGATTTGTCAAGAAGATTAATTTTTAAATAAATAGATTAATTTAGAAATGAAACAAATCTATATCATACATAAATTATATATAAATTACACATCATCTATATATAAATATCTACTTACTTCTAAATTTGTAATTTGTGTTTTTAGCAGTTTAGCTATTTTCATTTTTTCTGATAATATAGTTTCCAAATCTTCAATCATTTTTTGTTTTTTGTTAAATTCTGTTTGATCTTGTGCATGACCTTTAACACGATCTAATTTCATTTTACATTTATGTAGTGTAAATTCAACATGATATAATGATTCTTTTCTCTCTTCCAATATTTTTTTCTCTTTATCATAGCTGATTACTAATAATTCAGATTTTTTTATTTCATTTCGATTTTGCATTTCCAGAATTTTTCTTTCATTATTTAATTCGGAAATTTGATTGGCAGTACGTAAAATTGCTGTTTGGAGATGATTTGTCTCTTTGATAATAATAGATTTACGTTTTTCTTCTTCCTTCGAGAAATGTATTACTTAAACAATATTACTTAAATTTTATATATTTTATATAAATATAACAAACCTCAATCATTTCTTCTAATTGCTTTGTTCTATCCTCTACATTTAATTTTTGATCATCAATTTCATTTAAGGTCATAATTAAATCTTTAATTCGGTTCTTCCAATCCTCCATTTTTATAATTTTATTTTCAATTTCATTCTTTTTACGTTTTATATCTGCTCTTATTTGTTGCATACGGCGGTTCAAATTTTCTACATCCTTCTTTTGAGTGCGATGCTAATATCAATAATAAATATGTATTTATTTTAGCATGTATATGTATTATATTTTATATAATTGTATTTGTATTTTACTTTATGATCTCCATTTTTTGTTTTACCTCAAATTCATATGTACCAATCGTATCCATAATCTTACGATTCTCGTTTTTTATAATAAGAAGTTTCTTTTCAGATTCTTTAATCAATTCTTCGAGTTGCTTGTTGTTCAAAATTTGATCACTTAAAAATTGTTCTGTTTCATGTAGAAGATCCATTTTATCTTTTCCGATTTCACGAAGTGATTCTATTTCCTGTGCATGAAATTATTGGAAATTTAATTTATATATCATTTAGCCAAATTATGTTTTATTATACCCTTAAACTAGCTTGTATATTATCATCTCTTTGTTTCAACACAGCAACACTTTGTGTCCATTGGTTTATCATTTGTCGTCGTTCTTTTAATGCTTCATCATAAAGTTTAACAGTTCTATCTAAAGCTATTTCCATTTCTTGTGCTTCATTAACTACTTTTACTATTGTTTGTCGATAAGATTCGGCTTCTATACTTAGCTTCTGGCGTTTTTGTTCTAATTCCTGCAATGTAGATAACAAAGCGCTTATACAATATCAGTAACATTATCTAATATTCAGTTTTATTGGCACAATATTTTATATCAGTCACCTTATATTTTTTTGTATCTTGTTTCATATACTCTTCTATCAATTCATTATCTTCTTCCTTTCTGTTTAATACTTCCTCCCATCTTAAAAGATTGTTTTCATCAAATTTGACTGTTTTTTTAGAACTTTCTATTTTCTTTGTCAGTTTAGCTAAATCCTTCTCTATGTTTGATACTCTTTCATTTATATCATTGCATGTTTTATTAAAATCTCGCATTTCATGACGAAGATTTGATTCTGTACTATTGCTTAATCTATATAAATGATCTTCTTTCTCTAATTGTGCTGAATGTGCTGTAAGAAGGTTTTGATTTAAATCCTGTTGAAGTTTTATATTAATAGCATGCTTTTTAATCATCTTTAAGTGTTCTTCCATAGATTCCAAGTTTTTATGTAAAGACATCTTGTATTTTGTTTTCTTTTCAATCTAGTATAAAATAGAACAATAATTAAATAAAATACAATATATTTTAAAATATAATAAAACACAATAGAAAACGAGAAAAAACTTCTTACTTCTTCTTCAAGACGCTTGTTTTCTTCATTAGCCACTGGTATTCGAAATCCATCATCCCATCCTAAATCTTTTAAAATGTCATCTATATTGGTGATCATTATATGTATCACTATTTTAATTTCTCTAGTTCTTAACTAGTTTTAATTGTTGTAAAAAGTATTTTGATTGTAATCCTAGAATACTCTATTAATATTAACATTAAACGTTTGTAATTAGCTGCCATGACAACTGATCAATGAAATGAAATATTTAAAGTTGTTCAACAGCTTTCGTTCGTAGCATGTCTAACTCCAGCGACATTTATGGAAAAAATATGAACTAAAAGCGTAATAGGGAACTGTTCTCAGTATATGCCTATTGCATCGCTATATAAATGTAAGCTTATTAGATTATATCCCTCTTATACGTAATCAAACAATCAGGTTAATGTGAGATAGAAGTTTTTGTATATTGTAAAAATAATAGTACATCTAACAAAAGCAAGAAAAAACTAGCGATTAACTTTTAATTTTATTTGAAAAAAACCTGGCTTGTGATCACATGATGTTTGAATGAAGATCAATGTTCTGATTGGATTAAATAAAAACCAATGAATAAGGATGTTCCGATTTCTTATTGGATATTACGATAGCCTTTGTTTAAGTTAAATTATAATGTTTATAAGTTGGTAGAATGTCTATGTATATTTTAGGAACGCGTTTATGTTTGACGTGAAGTCGTATAGAGAAGAAATAATCTCGCAAGTCAACCAAATTTCAACAACCATGGCGGACGAGGAACTTCCAGCGGGTTGGGAAAAACGACTCAGTAGATCTACTGGTATATTAAATTTTAATTTTATGGTTTGTTTGTATAGCTAAATTATTTTTCTTTTCGATATTGTAATAGGTTTAGTTTTTCGAAAGTTTAATATTACTTCGATACGCTACTCTTTTAAGCTGCATCAGATGGGCGGCCGGCATTTTTCCAATATTTCTTAGACGATCACTTAAATATCGCATTATTTTTTATGTATTGCAATAAATACTATATATTTCTTTGTACGCATATCTGTATTTAAATGATTGTAAAAATACTTCAGTTATTCTATCAAGTTTTGTAACTCGAAAAAATTCAACAATTGATATGCTAATGACTAGCATTATCATTTGATGATGAATGTAAAATACAAAAGAATATAATTGTGCGTAATACTTATTAAAGGATAATATTTAAAGAATATTTTTAGTATTTTATTTATTATTTTAACTACAACTGTTGCTGTCATGATATTTCTATTTCATAGCTTTCAAATGAATGACTGATTGAAGGAATTTTCATTCCTTACTCTTCAATATTGAATAAATAATAGATAAAAATGACTTGCAATATAAAAATAGCATTCTTTGTACAGGTCAACATTATTATTTAAATATTTATACTAAACAAAGTCAATGGGATAGACCAGACAAACCAGCAGATCCTTCTGGTAATGGTAATGGGGATGGTTCAGAGGAAGTCCAGTGTTCACATCTTTTAGTAAAACATTCAGGATCTCGACGACCATCTTCTTGGCGAGAAGAAAATATAACAAGGTCAAAGGAGGAAGCTTTAGAATTAATAAAGTGTGAGTTTAATGTTAATATCAAGAAATATCTAATATTAGATACATACTTGTTTATAAATTAAGAATATATCATACTTATTTATACATTTTCTGTACACTTAGCTTACAGAGAACAAATAGCGTCTGGAAAAGCTACATTTGCTGAACTTGCTTCGAAATATAGTGATTGCAGTTCAGCTAAACGGGGAGGGGATTTGGGACCATTTAGTAGAGGTACTATGCAGAAACCCTTCGAGCAAGCAGCGTTTGCTTTGAAAGTTGGAGAATTATCTTCTCCTGTCCATACAGATAGCGGTATTCATATTATCCAGCGGACTGCATAAAGCAGCTTACTCCAGAATACGATGCAATGTACTTTGCATAAAAGTTTCATATTAATTTCATTAGTCAAAAGGTGGTTAAGCTAGATTTTCTTAATTTTTGTATGAAATCTTGCAATATGTTTCTCTCTGAGTAGCAGAGTTAAGTCATTATTATGCAGATATTGACAGAATGATAGATCCTTCATTTTCCTCTTCATTAATTTAATCTGATAAAATTGTATATTAATCAGTCTTCCACTAATTAAATATCTCATTTATATTCTTTTCAAAACAAGTATTTATATCATGTTATATGATATATTTATATTTTATCGATTATAATAAATAATCTTTCTAGGTATCTTGAAAAGATAAAATTTCCAAGTATCAAACAGGTCATTATTTTTCATACAATTATTGATACATAAGAACTATTTTTTTTATTAGTCAGTTTAAATTGATAAATTTTATTTAGCATGCTTAAAACTCTTTTTAATAATTAATTCATTTAATTAAGGTACATATTTCAAAAAATATAAATAATGGTATCTTTATCGATCAAGAAAATATTTTACAGTTATTTTTAAGAGAAAAAGATTATACTAATATGTAGTATTTAAAATCAGCCAACTCTATTGTATAGGCTTTACTACTGACTTTTGTATTAATATATGCTTATTTTTAAGCACATTGCAATTTAAGACATTTAAATAGAAGAAATATACGCGATTTATTGGAAATTAGTCTACATGTTTCCAACAATATAACTTAAAAAAAGTGAGAATTGCATCACATTTTAATGGTGCCGATACCATTTAATGGTTCACGTAATAGTGATAAATTATTCATTGATCTCTGTATTTATAAAATTTTTCTGTTCTTTTTTTTTATATATTAACAATAAGTTGAATGTTCTTTAAAATAAAATCAGATATGCTCAAAACTGAACAATTCAGTTTTATTTGTGACATGTATCTACAGTCAGTAGTATGCAATGATCCTTAATTAATTTTATTTTCTTATTTGTATAGTAAAATGCAAGTGAAAAATAAGATAGTATAAGATAGTATAAAGTATTCTTTGAAAACAGATTATTAAAGTTTCTGATATTATGAAAAAGATAGAAAGTTCTTTAATAGATTTGTCATTTATCTTATAAATTCAAAACGAAAAATATTACAAAAAATCTTATATCTCTCTTATATTACAATTGTCAAATGTATTAAACTAATGGTATTTAGGCGAATTAAATGTTTCCAGAAAAATTTATTTAGGACATTTTTTTTTAAATATTAAAAAGTGTCTTTTTTATATCAATTTTTCTAGGTTTAAAAAGTAAAACTCTTCATTTATGTCTATACAATTTTAAAATCATATGAACTCGTCTACGAGTGTATAATTAAAATAGCATACAATTAATAGTACATCATAATACAATGATAAACTCTTTAGTACTTCTTAAAAAAATTTGAAGAAATCAAAGTAAGATATTAAAAACACTGATAAAATCTTCTAAAATTGAATCGAGAAACCGATAGAAATATGTAAAAATTTTTTCCTATTACTTTGGTTAAAGAGTTGGCTGTATCAGATTGTGACAATGATTGTATAATACCTTGTACATTTAAATACCTCTTAAAGTTACTTATATGTTTTGTATTTTTTTTAGGAATTATAGCAGAAACATCTTTGTATACATCGTCTATTAAATTAAACTGTAGTTTATGTTTTCCAACATATATAAAGAAATTTAGTTTCTATTATCTTAATGATAATTATTTATAATAATTTAGGAAACAATAGCAATATACAAAATGCATTTACATGCACAATAGAAACATTTTCGCATTATTGTATATTGTACAAGCATATTTAAATGTATTTAAAGAGAATACTTCTACGATCTAAGCAAAATCAATGAAGGATTATACCGTAATGCGGACATCCAAAAAATGCGGAGGTGTCTAAATGCAATAATTGTAATGTATTTACGTACTTACTTGAAATAAGCATTAAAATATACCATTATGCTTTTATTCACATTAGATAAATTTGCCAAATTCGTTTTTTGTAGATATTGATATTATGTATGTAAGAGTAACTCTTGTTTTTCACCATTGAATATATAGCTTTCTAAGGTCATATGCTCATCAATGTACGCCTATTGCACATTGTCGATTATCAGTATCGCCCCATGCTTGGAGGAAATCCGCTACTCAGTGGCTTCCCCACTTGGGAACCCTGCACGAAACTTTGTTCTAATCATTATATAAGCGTGCGTATGAAAATCTATTTGCTCACATGGGGGGACTGAATATGATTGACATAATGCAATAATAAAGAGTGGTACGTTTATAACAATCTAGAATGACGTAACATAGATATGATCTATTACTATCATGATATTCTTTTTTATATTAAATCATTAAAATATTTACATGAATATATTTTCAGTGATTACACCGAGCAAGGAATCATCATTTTGGCAACGCTTCGATGAGAAGGTCATATAAATTCAAGAAGTTTTTTTTATTGATCCCGGGGAAAATATATTTCATTCGGTCATGTATCAATAAACTGTAACAATTAGGACGCTGTTTAAATTTCACATAGTCATCAGTTCGTACACCTAAGTTTCGCGTGTACGATACATTAAAAGCAAATTTCTTTTGTGACCTTGTAAAGACTATTGTAAAGGGTCATTAGTGATCAGCCGTTGCGCAAGTTCCAGTTTTTCATTTGGTCGACCCTGGCGTTTAGTTTTCATAAATTGGTCACGATATCTAAACTCGATCAATTTCGAGACACGCGATAGTTGAAATAATCTGATGAGCGACGATTTCGTTCCTCGATTATGATGGAGATAACAATGGTCCATGCTTCATTTATTTCAGTTTTCTCGAAATTCTTTGAAAATAGTTTCATTTCTGTCTCCCTAGCACTTATTAAGGAATTAACAAATTAACATCAATGCTTTATGGTTTTCATTTCACGAAGCCTCTGACGCAACGACCGTGAAATGAGCACCATTTATTCATAACAATTAAATTAAAAGGAGGAAGTGCGTCAAGTTTTCTCAACAAGTTAACTTTCATTCGGTACTTTTTTAATTATCGTTCTTGTTTGTACATCTGACGATGTACAAACAAGTTTTTTGTCGTATGCTTCATAATTTTAATTTTTTTGTGAAGAAAAAATAACTTTTAGATAAGATAAGAATATTTCATCAGGGTCGTGCCTTACATTACAATTTAAAAAAAATATTCTACAAATTATTCATGTGCTTTTTACAGACGTTTTGTTTACATATACATAGAAGTAAGTCTTTCACGTAATGCATCACGAATTTGTATTATAAAAGTTTGCTGATGTAGTAAACCAAGGTCAAATTTTACACAGTTTTAATTGAACGTTGTAAATCAGGGAAGGGTACTTCTTTTAGCGATTAACGATGAGGAATTATTAGCGAGTAACGATCTAAATGAAAATATATACGCATCATAAAGCATAAAAAATAATTGAACCAATCGAATTTTTCTGTTAATTATTGATAACTCATATTGGTATATGGTTGAAATTCCTGACTATGTAACATTTCGTGGAACTCTATCTTGACTTGTTGATGCCTGTTCATGTAGATTATAGTGTCGAAGAAAATGTCTACGTCAGTGCATAATCTAGCTTTATTCTTTTGCCTTTGTTTCTCATGAGAAACCGATAGAATCCTGAGTAATATTATTTAACGCACATTCATTTTCTTAACCATAGTTTCAGCTGGTACAAATTGAGTGTGAATATAAAATCCTGCATCTATATATGCCATCCTACTGTAAAATAGTTCGAGTAAAGATTTAATCATTGATAGAAATGTAGAATATCATTTTGTATATTTAATTTGTTATTGTTTACCTATATATGTAGCACAAAACAGAAATGTTTTTTCTTCAGAAGTAGTGTTCTGTAAATATAATTATGTTTAGTTTTTTTTTATGGGTGATCGAACAGTATATTATTTTTTTATTTGTTGTATATGATCATATTGAAAAAAACAGAAATTTCGTTAGTTGTATCAATTTACGTAAAAGAACCGGTACGTTGAGTATCGTAAGAATCGATAGAAGTTCTCCTTGGCTAAAGATCATATTTTATAATATGTAATTTCTCTCACTGAGAAATCGTTTAACATGTTTACCATTCCTACAATAAGAAAATAATAATATCAATTAAATAATAATTATCTGTTACATTCTTTACATTCATTTATAAAATTACATATTTATTTTAAAAAATTCGTACGATCGTGATCTTATTTGCAAAGTCGAATGACCTTCAAACGTCGTATTGATTACTGGTAATATCGAAAGAAACTTATCACAACATCGATCATTATTTGGTAAATAATTGATCTTCGACATAGTTCAAACAGCTAAATGAGTTCGATGAAATATTAGTTGTTAGATTGAAAAAATTATTCGCATAAAATAATATTATTTTACACAGATCAATGACGAAATATTTTATTTAAGAAATTTATGAAATTTGGTATAGATTGAATAATATATTTTTATTTTACATTATTACTTTTACCTTATATAAATACAGCTTATCTGCTAATTGGAAGGAATTCAAAATTGCCGCGACGATTATAACGACTATAACCTTCAGTGATCGTATTACTATGACGACTTATAATATTTCACTCGGATTCTTTAACGATCGAACTTATATATTTTTCAGATTCTGTTGCTATCAAGGTTAACTAATTTTTATTACTTTCTTTTCTCTTTCGACGTGACATTATGTCAATCATAATATCTATACTTTACGACTTATTGTACGTGATTTATCATATTTTTGTCATCTTCAAACATTAATGAATTCCCGCAAAAATAGAGAACCAATCAAAGAGCTTTCGATCAAAAATGTTTTATTAACAGCAATATAATTAATTACTAGAGAAAATGTTATTATTAAGAATATGAATTAATTATAATTTTATTATATATTAAAAGAAAAACAATCGATATTTTTTGTTAATTACATTCGATAAAAAAGAAAAACTTTAATAAAAATACTTTATGAAACTAGCCAATCAGAGATAAGCATGAATGAAATATCGATCGATCGATTTTTTATTCTACATTTAACTACTTTAATTCGTTAAAATGTAATCATTTCTATTTAAAAAATTATAAAACTATATGTTTGTGTGTTTATTTAGAATGTGAAAATAACAAATTTATAATAATATGTTTTGCGAAGATAAAAGCGCCATTAGAAGTGGCGCTTATCCGAAACTTCATTAATCGCAAATTCATGGTCCCGCCATATTTGCATCGTAAAATTATTTCCTACTCATTCGAACCTGAATGGGTTTCAGACTTACAACATCTTTTAGAAAAATTTATTATAAAAAAGTTAAGTTACATAAGATCACGAGTTTATTCGATGTTCCATAGACAAAAAATAATAATTCAAATTATTTTACATAAAGATCAACGAACGACGATGCGAAGTAAGTATACGTATTCTTATAAATATTTTATTTCAACGTTGCGAACATGAAATTCTAATGCTGTCTAATATATCACGAATGTTAAATTTTTTTTCAAATGTTTAATAAATTTATAATGAAATCAAGAAGATTTTCTTCAGTGATGATAACAAAAATCTCTATATGGACGTGATAAGAAGAAGAATAACAACAACAAAATGGTATCCAAAATAATCGACGATAAGAAATTCTCTCTCGTTTCGTGATCCGTTCGTGCTTCATGAGAGAAAAGAATTTTCCGGCTGGTAACGATCCGTCGTACCGAGCGATCATGCCGGATAATCGTTTTCATCACGGAGGTGGGGAAGCTAGGCTAGCCGAAGAAGAGCGCGGGGTGTGCGACGCTTGCGCTGAAACGCTCCCCTACATAAGTTATCGCGGGCGCGCTCGTACGGCAGTATCGCAGATCGTGTTATCAGGCACAAGTTGGCTAGTTTCATCAAGAACTATCCATTGGATAGTAGAAGGAAGAACGTAAAAGACCTAGAGTGGCATTGATCAAACATTATAAGAAGTCTTTCCAAGACGGTCCTTTTTGAACGCGTGGATTTATTTCTAAGTGAGTGCACTTTACATTCTTTTTATTTTCATTATTTTATATTAATTTATTATATTAAGAAGAGCGATATATATATTTCTTTCCTTATTCATTATTATACTCGTAGATAATATTTTCAAACGATAGAATTGATAATTTGTTCTTTATCTTTCTTTTTTATTTAATACGATGAAAGTTGAAGGATCAACGATCGAAGTTCTGTCTCAAGTTAAGAAAAATCAATGTAAGAGTTGGCAGTTAGAAAAGTTTACATTGTAAAGTTATATTTTGTTTAGGATAGACAACATATAATAATCTTTATTTTATATATACACATACGAGGTATCAAGTTAGATAATAATTAGATGGAGAAATGATCGGTTGCATATGATCATTCGATAGTATTACATTACCGTCGGATATCCGCAGCTTCTTTTTTATTTTTTATTTTTTTTGGATTCTCAGATAATGCTAGATCAGATACTCGGCGATGACTTTGTTTGTCTCTCTAAAGAATTTTTAATCTATCTGTAAGAAGATAAACCCACTTAGATCCAACTTATCTCTTTTAAAATCTTCATATTTTTATGAAAACAATTAATGTGTTCCTTATCAATCACTTAGATAATTATTTTAGAATCGTCATACTTGTTTTCACGACATAATATCAAAGCAATCTACTGTTTAATGATTTAACTTACAAATAACTCTTTAAAATATGAATATTTCCTTATCGGTTGATATAAATATTCTTTTTTCCGTATTACGACATAATGCGTGACATAAGACTTTTAGCTTTAAACGATAATAATTACCGTTTTCGTGAATATAACTCACTTGTTTTTATGTTATGCAAATACAAATGAATCCTCGTCGATAGACTTTTAGTCGTTAAAAAGAATTCCGATTCTTCGTTTGTAAAATGTTAATGATTACTTTGACAATTTCTAAGTGTTGTTTGTAAAATAATCTGATGAAACGACACAAAGACGACGGCACCGACCTACATTGCAAAAATAGAAATATCGAATCTTATGAATGTTTAACAAGCTAGCACGATATGTTCTTTTATATTTATGCTCTCTACTCCTTTCGGTAGATCTTTTATTGTTATTATTAGGGTTCATCATTCATTTCACCAAATTTTCCACGCACACTTACACGTCTCATAGATTATACTCATTTAGCACGGTGTAGGCTCAGTAATACAGTTCGTCGGTAATGATAGCCGCGACGATTATTTCGTTTCCTGTACATATGTCCGTAATCAACCGTATGACCATATTGTATTGACCAGTGAATTTTACGATAACGAGATCAACCTTATCACCAAAATATCTTTAATTGCAAATGAGTAGGAATGTTGAGTGAAATGTTGTAGAGAAATTAATTTTATCAAGAGGTATAAAAAACGATATACAAACATACTCCTATTCTCGAACACATTTATTTCTCGAGTGAAGAAATTTCTACAGAATATACAACATTTTAGTTAATGATAATGAATTGAATTATGATAAAAACGATTAAGATATTTACATTGAAAATAAGATTGTATATAATTAATTTTTCACGTATAACATAAATATATTTACTTCGTATACTTTATGTTCATGTAATAATAAAATTTTTTGGTAAATTTTTTATACGTATATTTAAAATGCGTATATTTAAAAATGTATAATATTCATACAGGTTTAGAGAACGCACATGTAGCACGATATATTTGTCGTACGCACACCTTCACTGTGCGAGAGTGCCACGATCGACAAACACGTCATCCTGTTTACTCGTTCGTTTTAAAATCTCACATGAATTAGATGGTATATCTTCTATATCGAAAAACCTGTTTACTACAAGTAGTCACGAAGACCTGATCAATAAATTTACGATTGAATTCGGAATAATTAATAATTAATTATTTCAAACGATTAGTTGACTTTCTAAACTATGGATCTCTCCTAGATCCTCGGTCTTTCTTTTAAGATCATTGAACGAACTCGCACAAATGAATACGTTTATTTTTTCTGTACTTGATAGAATGAACTCGCGTTCCTTACTGCGGATCAAACAGTTTTAACAATGAATTCGATTTGTTTTCCTATGTCTCCATGACGATATAAAGCGTCCGGCATCGTCAAATCGATACACGCGACTGTTCTTTCATCATATTAGGGTCAAATCACGCGTGTCCGGTATAAGATAATGCAAAAGGATTCGAGAGATCATCATTGGATTGAAGGCACAACAATTCGCGAAATTATTCTCTTGGAAGAATACGTTTAGCTAAAAAGAGAGAGATAGATAGAAAAAAAAGAAAAAGAGAGAAAGAGAGAGAGAGAGAGAGAGAGAGAAAGCTTTTAAGCACTCCCATTAATTAATGAGAAAATACGATACGTGTGTGAACGACTTGGGTCGTTCCAATTTTTCAACGGTCCACGAAATTTTAACTCTGTTTAATAATGTACATGTACGATTACGAATAACGAATAACATATATGGAAATATATATATATATATATATATATATATATATATGTACTATGTTCATTGAACTCATATGACGTAGAATTAATTGGTCTTAGTTATAATTACACACATTGTGGTTCTTATCAAAGATTATAAGCGATGAAAGCGTTGTATCTTCATGCAAGTACTCTTGTTAAGTAGTATAACAAAATAACATTCTAATAAAGCTAAGTGTTTAAACGATTCTCAAGTAAAGTAGAAAAAGAGGGAAATGATATCGAGCGATCTTTATGGTTGAGTCTAAAGTTTGCTTGGAATTCTTGAAAAGTAGGGTGAACGTATGGACTTTGCGACAATTCGGGGAGCTATGACAGTCTCAGTTCCTTCTCAGTTATCACAAAAGTAATGTCAGTTAGTTTTAGTGTTAGTAGATTGGTGAGTGATACGTTAAAATCAGTTTTAAAGAACACTCTTTAAAATAGATATTTATATCGTAGCAGTCTTTCGTGCGCTCGTTAATTCGTTCAAACAACTTGCTAATTAACACTAAGTATTCGCGAATCATTTTATTTAACATTGACGTAAGCTTTCTAACGCGTGACAAGAATTTCTTTCTCTTTCTTTCATTTGTGTAGTGATCGATCATTCACGCGAGTTGCGAGTTTACGTGATTATCCATACGAAATTAAAATAATTAGATACTTTTCATGATATGTGTATATTCGTCTTCTTTAATAAATCCTTCATAAATATTCTTCTAAATACTTGAAATGTTCTTAGTAAATAATGACGAAGTCGTTCAAGGCTTAACTCAAGATTACGATTAAATCACTCGATAGTTCTCATACATATGTTTGATTCTTTATCTTTTTTCGAAGATTATCAAGACATCTTAAATATTTCAGATATTTCACATATATATATATATATAAAATATATATATATATATATTTATATATATGTATAGAGAGAGAGAGAGAGAGAGAGAGAGAGAATTGGAAATTATTAAAAAGAAATGATCGTATCAATAATGTTGTCCCACTTATATATATATATATATCGTTTCCAAGCACAATGTAGGGGTCTCTGTTACGCCAGGAAGATGCACGACAAGATAATTCGTTGTACGTCGTGTAGCATAGCGGGGTGCTTTTCGCGCGAAAGTTCATCGATATATCGTACGAAATATTCCGCGAATGATTTCGTTACAAGTTG